ATGCTCCTCCAATTCCATCAACCGGGCCTTTACCATGCGATGTAGCAAAGTAGTTCCACATCAGGTGCAGGCTATGCTTTTCTTCGAGATTTTTAATACAATCGGCGACGTATTTGTTTTTAAATTGAGAAGCTGAGCCATCCGACCACAAGTGCACTTTTTTGTCGTTTGCAGGTAAATCTTCCAGTACTCGGTCGATGTAAACAATAGCTGTCTTTTTATCATGACGACGATCATTAGAATCCAGTACAATCGGATATTGTTCACCTGACATCCACAGCGAGACTGTAAATAAAGTTACTTGAGGTTGCACCCAGTGAAAACTTTGCACTTCGTCCTGGGCCAGGCATGTGTAATTTTCAGAATAGTCCACCTGAATCAGTTCTATTGGAGAATTCAATCTTGTGTTTTTGGTAGGAGGAGGCTTGATTCCGTTTGATGTAAGTATGCTCAAAGAACTTAGGAGCCATGTCGACTATCTTCTGGATCAGTTCAGTTACTATGCCTTTTACCTGAATTTTACTTAGTTTGCCATTGAAATCTGTCCACACAAACCAGTTAGTCTCGACGTCAGCGCCCACATTTTCGCAACTGTCCAAATATTCGTCCAGTTTGTTTTTTAACAAGTCCTTGCAGAGGTTACAGTCTTTCAACCAACATACTGTTGTTGGAGCTGTGCAAACAAAGCCACTGAGAAAATTGTGATCGTAACGTGGGCTTCCTATCAGGTCATGTAATGCATTCACAGCCAGCGAGAAATTTTCGTGGTATTTGCATAAGCAAACATTATGTGGCAATTTGCTGGACAGGTAAACATGCTTTGGCCGGAGCTCAGCAAACTTGCTTCGTCCCACAATATTCCCAAACTCTTGAACAAATAGTGAATGGGTTTCAGTCACTGATGAAAATAAATATGCCGGATCTGCATTTTTCCTTCTCTCCTCTTTCATTGCGAATTGTGACATAATCTTTTAAGCCAGGTGCTTGGCGGCTTATATCATCGCGCTGATAAAATGTTCGTATTTCAAGAATGACTTTCTTGTCTAATCCAGATAGTGAGTAGATCCACCGTGCATAGTAGGAGGGCTTTCCTTCGGGCATTCATCCAAGTCTTCCAAGCACCAATTGCTTTTTTATGGGACAAGCAGGCAATGCGTTACGAGCACAAACTACAGCTTTACCAATGGATTGTGGTGTCACACGGATAGAAATTTCATTTACAATTGTTTTTGTTTGTTCTTTTCTGAAGTCGATGCTTTCTTACTCTTTTCCTTGGTTTTTCTTCAATTTTCTATAATAACTTTTGCTTTTTTCGATAAAGGTAGGCACTCAATTTCTTCTTTTTTCTTCTGTCTAGTTTTACGACAAGCTTGTTTTATTTTTTCTTTATATTCATCATATTTACTGGCCTCCTTCAACTTGCCCGCGTGCGGCGACGCCGCATAAGCACCTCACGACGTGAATCTACCTGTCCTATTCATAACTGCCTTTACGTTTTACGGAATTAACCGGTTAATTTGGGTGTCAAAACCGTAAGTAGCCGGTACCCTTTATCCTTTAGGTTAAATAAAAACCGTTTATTTTTAAAACCGGTAATTGAAGGAGCGTAAAATTAACCGATAAATAATCGAAATTAACCGCTCTTTTTAAACCGGTTCCGAGCCCTGGCTCAGTTGATCAGTATAAATTCGGTCACTTTTACAGTCCCTCAAGTTTCTATGTATTTAAAACTCTTGAATGTCAGTAAGGGACCAGAACCTGATGGCATTCCACCCTTGTTTTTACAAAGATGTTACCGTCAATTAGCTAAACCATTAGCAATTTCGTTCAGAACTCCCATAAAGTTGGGTGAAATGCCTTTACAAAAGAAAAAATCATTCATAACTCCCATATTTAAAAGTGGTAATAAGCACGATATTTCAAATTACCGTCGTATTTCAAAATTAAACTCGATTCTAAAACTATTTGAGGACATTAACTATGACACACTCCCTCAAATAATTCAACCAATTATAATTCCCGAATAACATGGTTTTGTAAGCCGAAAGTCTACAGAAAGTAATCTCTGTGAATTTTTTGATCATCTTTGTACTGCTATGGACAGAGGACTGCAGGTAGATGCAGTGTACACGGATTATATAGAAGCATTTGACAAAATTTCACATGATATTCTGATACATAAATTAGATCAAATCGATGTACAGGATAATTTACTTTGATGGATCAGGATGTATGGAGTCAAGTGGTTGCAATAAAGGGATACTGTTCATCATTACTCCCAGTTTCTTCAGGAGTTCCCCAGGATTTTCATCTCGGACCACTACTGTTTATAATATTTATAAATGATGTTATATCCTGCTTCTATAATTCCCAAATTCTCCTTTTTGCAGATGATATCAAAATTTTCAGGTCTGTTAGAACTATAGAGGACTGCAATCTACTTCAAGACGATCTGGGTAGGCTTAGTGCACATTGTCAAGCAAATGATCTTTGTTTGAAGATCAGGAAATGTAACATTATCTCATTTACCAGGAAAAAGAATCCTATCCTCTTTGATTATAAGCTTGATGATAGTTTACTAACGAGAGTAAATGAACTGTGTGATCTTGGTGTTCAGTTGAATAGTAAGTTGTTACTGAGGTGACATATTAATATCATAACTAAAAGAGCTTATAAAATGCTAGGTTTTGTTATGTGTATATCAAAAAATTTCAAAAGGCGATCTATTCTTGAGTATTGTTCTTCATGTTGGTAGACAGTAATACGCTCGAGAAACACCATGATATAAGAGATAAAATTTTGTACAAATTGCTTCATAATACCATCACTCTCCCCTGCTTTAAGCAAAGTTAATCTTGCGTGTCACAGGTTAGGTGCACGAAATAAACCTCTTTTTGCATCATGTAAAGTTAAAACAAGGTATGTCTCAAATAATTTTGTATCTCGTGCATGCAAAAAATTTAACTTAAAATATTGTAAATTTGATATACTTCACCTTGAACATAATAGTTATAAAGAAAACCCTTACCTTTAAAAAGCAAATAAATAAATAAAAAGAAAGATTGTGCATCAGGTGAAAAAATTAAGGAACTTACAAGACAAAGACAAGCAATTCGTCCCACAATTACTGCATAGGATTCAGAATATAGATTGTAGATATTAGAATATTACACATGCAAAGACTTAACCAACAATGAATGTTTCAATGAAATTAAAAAATTGTGTTTTCATCATTACTACTTAACTGCACATGTGAATTCGCCTAAGTTTTATTTTCAAATTTACTGATACATTTATTCATCCATACCTATCCAGCTTATGAAGTCCACAGCTGAACATAGGCCTCTCACATAGATTGCCCCCTTGGCATGCTATGCATATTTGCCATAGTTACTACGCTTGCAATTGCACTTTTTTTAATATTTTCAGCTGTTATCAGAAAATAGCTTTTTTTGCTATACTAAGCATGTGCTTAACTACAATCCCACCTAATGGTAACTAATGATGTAACATAAGATGGACGATGGTAAAGTGCAGTCCTAACAAAAAACCTATTCACTCTTGCCCTGGAGACACCCACAATGTAATCAGATGGAAAGACAGATGCTGGCAGCTTTTTTCTGTCACCTCTTACTTACTACCACGGAATGGTATGAGATAGTAGATTCTATAACACTGCCAATACAAGGTGAAAATAACTCTGTGGAAGGCTAGTAGAGTACAGTGAAGCTTAAGTCACAAACAGTAAATATTTGCTGTGAGTATATTAACTGTGAATATTACTCACAGTGACAATTTGCTGCCTGCCTGTCACACACAGCGAGTACTATATGAGAATTATCTATAATATGTATCTTTTATATTCTTAAATTTTCTTTTCAATTGCTCTTGGGTTGCTAATTCAATTAATCCCGAATGAATTTATTTGTTAAACAATGAAGGCATCTGCCTAAGCGATTTTTTTTAAATTACTGTTATTTGTGTCAAACAGCTCCCGATTTTTACTACACACCCAAGAAACGACTTATATAGTAATTTCCCCATTTTAGAGAATAGTTTATCGGTTAACCCATTTGATTGATCTACACACACGTATCATGCAGTAACGAACAACCTATGCACAATGCGTGAAGTCTGGAGCGAAAGGAGCAGTGAGTGCTCATTCGCAGAGAATAAAATCGAACATGTTCAGTTCAATTCACAGCGAATTCAACTCACGGCGAATGAATCTAATCGCAGCAAATAGCCACACTGTAACACATAGCGAATTCTTGCTGCCAATACATAATCGCAGCGAGTATTCGCTATGTGTGACCGAGGCTTTACAAAGTGACCAACCTCAACCTAAAGCCACCAGTTTTGTTGCTAACACAACAGTTGCCAACAAAACTTGTTTCCATTTTCGGCGGCAACATCAAATGAATACGCATGTTGCCAACATTTGTTCCCTCGGTGGAGAGGCTTGTTGGAAACAGTAGGAAACATAACTGTTGCCAAAATTTTTTGTGGATACGCGGCTTTACACAAGCAAATTATTATGGCTAATTTTAAGTAAGTACTACAAGTTAGTAGTTCTCAATTACTAATCATATAACCTAACGACATCCTTATTAATTATTCAAATGAACTTGTGGTCATAAAATGCTAAAATAAATTTATAAGAAATTAATTACTTAAAGCTAATGCTATAATGGAAATGCATTGTTATAGAGTTTAAGATATTAGACTCTTCTTCGTAAGCCGCATTCTTTTCAATTTTAATCAAGGAAATTATTTAACAAGTCTGAAAAGTGTACGCACGACTTCAAAATATGATGAGTCTTAATACAAAATGGCGGGCACCCGTGGAACGAAACATTCTTAGAAACATTTAAATTAATTGTATGTAATAAGTAAAAAGGAGTTTATTTTTAAAGTCTAAATTTAGATAACAGGCAATAAATTCAATGCAAACATAATAGAGAATTTTCAAGCAATAAATAGCTAAAACAATTAGGTACCTCATTATTAGGTCGTTGACCTCCTTGTGCCGGGCTCTGATTCCTTTGGTTATTATGATCAAATCGAGAATTGCGAAATCCGCCACCTCCACGATTGTTACCACGGCGACCACCTTGCCTTTGCGGTTGTGGAGGTCCACCGAACCCCCTATTCCCATACTGATTCTGGCCTTGCATCTGCATTCTGTAATAAAAGTTAAGACGTTATAAGATTTTGAGTACATATGAATAAATAATCCGAATAGGAATGATATGTACATCGACTTTAACCACTTATCTATATTATAATAAGCACTTATGATAAGAAATTCACAATTTACGACACCCAAAAACTTCACGACCAACGACAATTAGACGCCGTCGTATGAACGTATGACGGTGAAGCAAAATGGCGGACGGAAAGCGGAAACGGAAAGCACTTAGTCTTAGCGAAGCGGAAACGGACGCTAAAGCGTTCCAAAACGTAGATAGAGGATTGATACTATGTCTATGTTCAAAAACGATTGATTTTTTGTTACGATTGCCACTTGAGCCAGGCAAAGGTCACAAACTATGCAGCCGAATTTTAATCTTTAGTTTTTATATATGGTTTATAACTTTCAACTGACTTCAAAATAAGGCGGTTCTCAAATCGATTGTACTTCTTTATGTGTGTTATATGTGTGTATACTTCAAAAAAAACTTGAATACTAAACTGTACAACCAGTGCATGTTGCCAGTGATGACCTATGGAACTGAGAAATGGTCCTTCACTGCAGCCAGATGAGGAACCTAAAGTTTGCTCAGTGAGCTATGAAGATGGCTATGCTCGAACTTTCACTGCGTGATAAACTTAGAAATGAGGATATCCGCAGTAGAACCAAAGTGACCGACATAGCCCAACTTATTACATACATAGATATAATATCGTACGTATGTACGATATTACATCTATATACCGTCAGGGGAGTAATGTTGTTGTCAGTGTAGTGCTCGTATTTGTTTAATTTAAAATATTAATCTAACCTTTAAGTCATAAAAGTGAGTGTGTATGACCATTTAGAATATTGTGTAGAAGAATTGAACATAAGTGAAGCGAAATCAAAATAAATAACATTAAAAGTGATAAAATAAAACTGTCATCGATATGGATCTACTCCGTTATAATTACAAAATGTTAACATTACTCTGATCGTGTTACATATTAATATGTTAACAAGCATTATGTTTACTTGTTTTTCTGGAATAATTACTGTTACAGTGAACTTTTAAAGTTTAATTCTAAATTATTTATTATAACTATCAAAATGGTCAATAATTGTGTGTTGTGCGACCATAAAACTGGTCCGTAGTGGTGATCAATAGTTTTGTATTCATTGCCCTCTTTCGGCTACTAGGAGTAAATAAGAGCTGCAAGCTGCAACGCACATAAGTAAATAAAAGCGATACAAATAAGCCTACCTCAGTCAACTCACCATGGTCAAGTATGGAGCCTGTGGTTGCTACCTGCTGGCGACAGATGGTTCTTATTACCTGTGATAAATGTGATGTAGCCTATCATCGAGGAATACTAAACCGGTCAATTAAACCGATTCGTTAAACCGGTTTTATCGTAGACTTAGAATATACTAGCGTATATACCGACATAGTGTGGAAGGGAGAATAAAATTCCATATGGCAAAAATGCAAGTTAAAAAAGAATACCAAATCTCATGACTCTGTAACCAATTTTTAATGACAGGTCGGCACAATTTGGCAAGCAAGAAATAAGCTCCTAGCTATTTTGTAAATTTTAGAGTATAATAGTGGTTATTTTTAGTAAGTAACTTTCTTCCAAAATGGCTATTTGTTCGATGAGTGACTGTGGTGTTAATAATAGAAATAATCCTGATAATTGCATATTTCATAAGTAAATTCTCAAGAAGTCGTCAATTTTATGATGCGCTAATTTTTAGTTAAAATTTATGTTTTAAGCTGTTTAAAATATAGAATTTTATTTAACTATTTTGTTAATTTTGATATTTTGCAAAGGAAAAAGTCACGTTGTTGATAATTTGCATTAATTTGGTAAATACATTTTTATACAAAATATTTTACATGTACGCAAGGGATTGAATCAAATATATCAAAATTAATGTTGCCAAGTTGCCATGTTGTTGTAAGCCATTTCTACATTATTTGTACCAGTAAGTATAATAATGTCCTCCAGACCGAATTTCGATCACGGCGGCCAGTCTCAACGGAGACTAGCCAACGGCGCAGGACAGGAGTACAGTGCCCAAGTGTATGCGCAAGCACAGGTGCACTCTCTATACCCTCACTCTCATAGTCCAATGAGACGGTAAACTGACACGACCGGAGAAAGATCACGCGCAGGACCAATGGCTTAACGTGCTTTCCGAGGCACGGGGGTGACACACCGCCAACTTTCTGACTCCGGGCAGCTGAGAATTTCTTGATGGAAAAACTCAATAACTGTTTTTTTTTTTTGGCCCGACTCGGGATTCGAACCGCGACCTTACGATAAGCAGTCACACTATTACAACCTCTAGACCAACGAAATCTCGTCTGTAATCTCGTTTGTAAGTATAATATTGTTATAATAAGACTTCAAAAATTTAACTTTCAAAATTTTTGATAAAATAAAGACAGATTTTTATACATCATAAAACTGTAGTACATTAAACATACAAAATCTTGAGATTATCATATTTAAGCCATTATGAACCCATTTAAGTATCTATTTATCAACGAAAAAAATGTAATGCTCTTAAAGCGCCACAGACGCCCGCGCATGAAAAGCGCGGTTTAATATGCCAGGATAGTATAAAATCCATAGTATTTGGTAATCACAACGTTCGATGCCCGATTCATGCTTCATTGACGACGACATTGTGCCGAGGGCTTAAATAGCGTGGTTCATCTCCTACAGCTTTAGTCGTAGAGAAAAGCAACTCGTGGTTAAGTAATAGCTGCGCGGATCAATAGATCTGCGAGATTAAGTTGCACTTGCCGCGGTCAGTCCATGAATGGGTGACCATTTTTTAACATACCAAGATTGAGAGAATAGAGAGTGCATCTGTATCCTCAGACACTTGGTGCACTTTACTCTGTTAAGATTATTATTTTTGAAAATTTCGTGAAGCTAAAATGATAATAAGTTGGTTATTACTTTATGCTTTTCAGGAACAGATGAAGTAATATAAACATGAAGAATGATGAAGCCTCATAAACATATTGGCCTTTAAACAGAGCAATCTTATTTAACTGATTCCTACAAATTTCCTTACTTGAATTATTAAGGTTACATTCATATTTAAGACTAATGTTAAAATAAACTCCTATAATGTATTTAATTATTAATTATTAAATGTTTGTAATTACCAAAAGTAATATTTATATGAAAAATAAAGCAGCCATTATGTACTCCGTGTCCCCGTTTTTTATTTCCCCATCAAAACATTTTATAAAATATATAAAATATGAATATGTATATACTTAGTTAAATATTTACCTTGAATAAAAACTACTTTTACGGATTTTATCGTGTTTAATTAAGTGATTTTACATTCCCGACGTTTCGGTTGCTTTCCAGCAACCGTGGTCACGGGGGACTGAGGTGATTGACGTCCCGATGTCAAAGTTAACCCGGAGTACCTTCAGCTTTTTAATTATTAATTTTGGTCCGATCTACGCAGAATGAACTAACTGTGTCTTGAAGTCTTGCAGTGGTATGCTTGGGTTTAGTTTTAATTTTATGAATTACAAGATCCCGTAAAAGTAGTTTTTATTCAATGTGTAGTGTTCGCGTAAATATAAGAAATCATTATGTAAATATTTACCTATTTATATTAACAATATGTTAAAAAAGAAATTCCGGGGAAACTGTCCATGGTAGTAAATATTTTTTTCCAAAGATCATAACTTGAAAATAACTTTCCGATTTGATTCTTCGGGAGATTTTTTAATGTTTATCGGTAGATTCACCTGGGATTTTTTACATACGAATTAAAATTCAACAAAAGGCACGTAGGTTCAGCTTATTCCAAGGAACATGTTATATGAATATTTTTAAATTATTTTAGAACTATCATGGTAAAAATTCAGTTAATCTTGGAAGTTATTCAATTTTGTGCACTAAACTTTTTTTTAATCTTTTTACCTTAGAATTATTAATTTAAATAGAATTTTAATTTTTCCTTTAGAATATTTTTTTTTCGATAGTCCTTATAAGTTCAATGTATATAACTAGTCGACGCAAACAAAGGCGAATCAAAATTAGTCACGTGTTTTAGGGCTGTCGGGTCGTCTATACTCCAGTATATTATATGTCTATGGATTTTATATATATTAAAAAAAATTAAGTCAGTTCATGAAACCAGTAACATTAATTGGTACGCGGACGACAGCATTGGTGATGCTTTATACACTGGCCGTACAAATATTTCAGGGGAAAAAGTCACTGAATTCAAGAAAAAATCGAAACCTTGTTGAACAAAGTCTCGGCTTGGGGCTACTAAATCTAGTCCAGTTCAATCACCAGAAGACTACAGAAGTTGGCGCGTTTATCGCTAAAAAGAATCTCGGCGTCAACATATCGAGTGACGTGCAATTTCGTGATTATTTGGAAAAGAAGGCCAAATTGGCCTCTAAAAAGCTTGGCGTGCACAGCAGAGGACAGTAATTCATTCCGGCACACCGCCTGCAACTTTACAAGACGCAGAGTTGGCCGCACATGGAATACTGTCCCCATCTCTGGGTCGGGGCTCCCAGTTACAATTCCTTTTATTTGATCGAATCCAGCGCAGATTCGTCGGCGACCGAGCTCTTTCTGATCGGCTCGACTCACTGGTGCTGCGAGAAGATGTTGCATCTCTTTGCGTATTCTAACGTATCTACAACCAAGAGTCCTCAGAGGTATAGTTCGGACAAATTTCAGCCGCTCAATTTTACCATCGCACATCGCGACAAAACTCGAGATACCATTCGTACCATCTGGATGATTAGCAGTCTACTATATGTGATTTAGAAGAAGTTTTCTTCCTCGCACAACTTACTTGTGGAATCGAATAACACCAACAATTTTTCCGGACCGATACGACTTAGGGACGTTCAAGAAAAGAGGCTACTCTTTTTTAAAAGGCTGGCAACGCTACTGCAATTTCCCTGGTGTTGGAGTTGTTCATAGGCGGTCGTAGTCACTTACCATCAGGTGAGTCGTATGCTCGTTTGCCCCCTCTCATATTAAAAAAAAATCAATAGGGTTAAAGACAAGTTCCTTGCCGATAATACTTATCGATATTTTTTTCTACCTATATCTGTTTACAACAATAAAAGTCGCTGACAACGGATAATTTACAATATTTATAAATTTACAGGTTTTCTTT